AACATCTCTCCATGGGTCCTTAGAGAAGGAGCAGAAATGCTGTGTCCTACTAACCACAATCTTCAGCACATCCCTGGAAACTGGGCAACTACCTGAGGTAGGGAAGATGGCAAATGTAGTACCCACATTTCAAAAAGGAGACAGAAAAGAAGCACTAAACTATAGACCAGTGTCAATGACGTACATAGTATGCAAAGTAATGGAGAAGATTATCAGGAGGAGAGTGGTGGAGCACCTGGAACGGAACAAGAGTATAAACGCCAACCAGCATGGAATTATGGAAGGCAAATTCTGTGTCACAAACCTACTGGAGTTTTATGATAAAGTAACAGAAGTAACACACGAGAGAGAGAGGTGGGTTGATTGCATCTTCTTGGAATGCAAGACGGCCTTCGACACAGTTCCTCACAGGAGACTGGTGTAGAAGTTAGAGGACCAGGCGCCTATAACAGGAAGGGAGCTGTAATGGATCAGAGAATACCTGACAGGGAGGCAACAACGAGTCATGGTACGTGATGAGGTATCACAGTGGGCACCTGTGACGAGCGGGGTCCCACAGGGGTCGGTCCTAGGACCAGTGCTATTTCTGATATATGTGAATGACATGATGGAAGGGTTAGACTCAGAAGTGTCCCTGTTCGCAGATGATGGGAAGTTAATGAGGAGAATTAAATCAGATGAGGATCAAGTAGGACTTCAAAGAGACCTGGACAGGCTGGACACCTGGTCCAGCAACTGGCTGGACTTGTTGGTACCTGCTCGTAGAGAGAGTTGTTGGTACCTGCTTGTAGAGAGAGTTGTTGGCACCTGCTTGTAGAGAGAGTTGCTGGTACCTGTTTGAAGAGAGAGTGGTTGGCACCTACTTGTAGAAAGAGTTGTTGGCACCTGCTTGTAGAGAGAGTTGCTGGTACTTGCTTGAAGAGTGAGTGGTTGGCACCTACTTGTAGAGAGAGTTGTTGGCACCTGCTTGTAGAGAGAGTTGTTGGCACCTGCTTGTAGAGAGAGCTTTTGGTACCTGCTTGTAGAGAAAGTTGTTGGTACCTGCTTGTAGAGAGAGTTGTTGGAACCTGCTTGTAGAGAGAGTTGTTGGCACCTGCTTGTAGAGAGAGTTGTTGGCACCTGTTTGTAGAGAGAGTTGTTGGCACCTAATTGCAGAGAGAGTTGTTGGCACCTGCTTGTAGAGAGAATTGTTGGTGCCTGCTTGTAGAGAGAGTTGTTGGTACCTGCTTGTAGAGAGAGTTGTTAGTACCTGCTTATAGAGAGAGCTGTTGGTACCTGCTTGAAGAGAGAGTGGTTGGCACCTACTTGTAGAGAGAGTTGTTGGCACCTGCTTGTAGAGAGAATTGTTGTCACCTGCTTGTAGAGAGAGTTGTTGGCACCTGCTTGCAGAGAGAGCTTTTGGTACCTGCTTGTAGAAAAAGTTGTTGGTACCTGCTTGTAGAGAGAGTTGTTGGAACCTGCTTGTAGAGAGAGTTGTTGGTACCTGCTTGTAGAGAGAGTTGTTGGCACCTGCTTGTAGAGAGAGTTGTTGGTACTTGCTTGTAGAGAGAGTTGCTGGCACCTGCTTGTAGAGAGAGTTGTTGGTACCTGCTTGTAGAGAGAGTTGTTGGTGCCTGCTTGTAGAGAGACTTGTTTGTACCTGCTTGTAGAGAGAGTTGTTGGTACCTGCTTGTATAGAGAGTTGTTGGCACCTGCTTGCAGAGAGAGTTGTTGGTTCCTGCTTGTAGAGAGAGTTGTTGGTACCTGCTTGTAGAGAGAGTTGTTGGTACCTGCTTGTAGAGAGAGTTGTTGGTACCTGCTTGTAGAGAGAGTTGTTGGTACCTGCTTGTAGAGAGAGTTGCTGGCACCTGCTTGTAGAGAGAGTTGTTGGTACCTGCTTGTAGAGAGAGTTGTTGGTACCTGCTTGTAGAGAGAGTTGTTGGTTCCTGCTTGCAGAGAGAGTTGTTGGTACCTGCTTGTAGAGAGAGTTGTTGGTACCTGCTTGTAGAGAGAGTTGTTGATACCTGCTTGTAGAGAGAGTTGTTGGTACCTGCTTGTAGAGAGAGTTGTTGGTACCTGCTTGTAGAGAGAGTAGTTGGTGCCTGCTTGTAGAGAGAGTAGTTGGTATCTTCTTGTTATGGCATAATTTTAAATAAACAGATCATAATATTTCAATGTTTATCGTCTATGTCGAAAACACTTACCTAAGATGCTAATATTTATACATTATTTATCATCAATCGTAGTTGGTAATATTCAGCTTTTGTTGACAATTGTATAAAACGTAGACAAGATGATGATTGAGACACATGTACAACAGTTGGGTATCTTTATTGAGGGAACGTTTCGCCCACACAGTTGATTTCTTCAGTCGAATACAAAGGGAGCAGTAGTAATGAAATAAAGATGTAATCAGTCCATCAACCTTGAAGTAAAATCATTTGAGGGTGTCAGTCCCTCAGTCCGGAGAAGAGTTTACCTTCATACCGTCACAGCTCTTGGAGGTGACGTCTTCTCAAAGCTGAGGGACTGACCACCTCAAACACTTTTTCTCCGAGGCTGATACACTGTTTACGTTATCTTTATTTAATTTCTTCTGCTATTTTCTTAAATATTCGGCTTTTATATAGTTCACGTATGTTTATATTGGCTATTTAAATAGGTAGAATATTCAGTATAATTATCAAATTTTCTTGGGTGACTGGAATTATGCACTTGTTAGTTTTCTTCAGATCTCCTGCTAGTTTCCTTAAATCACTTGCTAGTTTCCTCAGATCACCTGCTAGTTTTCCTTAGATCACCTGCTATTTTCCTTAGATCACCTGCTAGTTTTCCTTAGATCACCTGCTATTTTCCTTAGATCACCTGCTAGTTTCCTTAAATCACTTGCTAGTTTCCTCAGATCACCTGCTAGTTTTCCTTAGATCACCTGCTATTTTCCTTAGATCACCTGCTAGTTTTCCTTAGATCACCTGCTATTTTCCTTAGATCACCTGCTAGTTTTCCTTAGATCACCTGCTATTTTCCTTAGATCACCTGCTAGTTTTCCTTAGATCACCTGCTAGTTTTCCTTAGATCACCTGCTATTTTCCTTAGATCACCTGCTAGTTTTCCTTAGATCACCTGCTATTTTCCTTAGATCACCTGCTAGTTTTCCTTAGATCACCTGCTAGTTTTCCTTAGATCACCTGCTAGTTTTCCTTAGATCACCTGCTAGCTTTCCTTAGATCACCTGCTAGTTTTCCTTAGATCACCTGCTAGTTTTCATTAGATCACCTGCTAGTTTTATCAGATCACTCGAAGCTAAATGTCAACGAGAAGTCAGAGTTGATGACGTGACAGATAGTACTAGCTTAATACAGTCACAGACTAGCTAGCTTCTGTAGTGTACACACCTCTGTGTCTTACACTTTTGAGCACCACTACAGCGCTGCTGCTGAGTTCCCACCTAGCCACTGCTATCTTCTTCCCACTGCTGTCTTCTTCCCACTGCTGTCTTCACACTGCTGTCTTCACACTGCTGTCTTCACACTGCTGTCTTCACACTGCTGTCTTCACACTGCTGTCTTCACACTGCTGTCTTCACACTGCTGTCTTCTTCCCACTGCTGTCTTCACACTGCTCTCCACTTACACCATCACTCATCTCTACCATGTACTTGCCTCGATATGCTGTTATCTCTGTACGTCTCCTCTGCCTGGCTCACCTCTGCGCTCTTTTTGGTCGTACTGCCCTTGCTGGCAGAACTCAGCTTAATTAAGCTGAGCTGCATGTTCAGAGGTATAGGTTCAGTTTTCTGGGGCGGATTTTCTTTAGGTGTTATCGTGTGTCAAAACGCCAGTATATTCTCGTGCAGAACTCTAGCTCCTGCTAGAACCTCCTCTGCTATCTTCGTGCTTACAGCGTCACCAGACGTAGTCTCCGTGACTCATTCTTTCGTAAAGTTATATCACCTTGACCTTGTCATAGGCTGCCCCTGCCTTAGGGCTGCCCTTGCCATAGAGTTGCCATTGCCATAGGGCTGCCCTTGCCAAAAGGCTGCCCTTGCCATAGGTCTGCATTTACCATAGGGCTGCCCTTACCATAGGCCTGTAAACGGTACTCCATTTGACAACAAAGCTCACCGTGCCCTTGCTACAAGACTGTAAACGGTACATCACATGTACAAACTCTGACACTCCTTCGGGAGCCACTGCGGGTCACCACACACACAGAAGACCCGGGCCACAACCCGTCCTGGCAAACCTACCTAAACCTGAATCTCACGTTGTGTTATGGAACGTGAATCTTGTCCACTGGAACGGAATGTTGAGTCTTCCTTACAGTGGTAATTAAAGGCGATCCTGGTTTACCTTCTGTGGCGTCGTAGTGGTATATATCTAGTGATCTTGGTATACAATCTTTATAATGAACGTACAAAACAATTTTGTACTCTTAATGAACTGATTTGTATATAATAATATAAATATGTTTACTTTTAACCCAAAATAAATAATTTCGAATGATTAATTGCGGAAATAATGTTATTAGTAAAGCAATACTTAAATTAGTCTCATTATTACGATCACAACAGCATGTTAACGAGACGAAGATGAAAGTTTGCTTTAACGCGACTCATGACACCTGCTTGTAGAGTATGTGACTGACACCTGCTTGTAGAGTATGTGACTGACACCTGCTTGTAGAGTATGTGACTGACACCTGCTTGTAGAGTATGTGACTGACACCTGCTTGTAGAGTATGTGACTGACACCTGCTTGTAGAGTATGTGACTGACACCTGCTTGTAGAGTATGTGACTGACACTTGCTTGTAGAGTATGTGACTGACACCTGCTTGTAGAGTACCTGACACCTGCATGTAGAGTGCATAACTGGCACATGCTTGTAGAATGCATGCCTGACAAATGCAAGTAGGAGGTGGGGGCTGACATCTACATGTGGTAGACTGTGCTGACACCTGCACATCTTGATGAAGAGATCAAGGCTGCAGAGTGACAGGTGTGTGCTACTGCTGCTGCAGGTGGTGAAGGAGAGTGGACACGGGTGGGACATCTTCAGTGTCCAGGAGCGAGGTGGTGGCGGCCCCGGGGGTGACCTGAGACTCGTCACTCCACTGGACTACGAGAATCCTGACCAGAGACCCGGCTTCAGGTTCCGCGTAGAAGTGACGGATGAGGTAGGGATACAGTAAGAACAACTATATTTTCTAAATCTACAAATGATTCTACTGTCAGAATTAAACAAACATTGTATTATGGTTTTGTATACATATAGGCAAACAGGATACCCAGATAACACTTGTCTGCGCTGATAATTGTTAAATGAGACTTACAAACAATAGTTAATTCTCTCTCGTTGGGCAATTCCAGATGTTTATAATGAACTCTACGATTGATGCCCCTGTAATTTAAATTATAATTTTTGCTCTACTAATGAATTCATTGATGATATCATTAAAAACTTGTTCAAATCTCAACAAATATGGTGACTTGTACCATATATAGTCACAAAGATTGTTCCAGGACGACTAGAAACTTGACTTTTATGTCAAAATTTAAAAAAATATTTTTTTTATGAGTGACAAAATAATGAGTGATATTTTAAGGAGATATTTATCTATAACAAGTGAATTAAAAATATAACTTGAGTAATGGAGACTATAGAGGTTACTGAAACTTATTTATAATTTATGTTGATTTAATGGCTTCTGGAATAGTGTGACTGGTGTTCTTGGAGTGCAACTGTCACAGGAACTTGTGATCATGTCTTGGGTCTTCACGAGTAAGGTCAACAGCTTCCCAAATATTTCTGGTACAGGTGCATCGGCCACCTCATTTTCAGTCCGGCTCGGTAATGGGAGGGTAATAATTTTAAGTGCTTTTGTCCATCTAGCCGCCTGTAAATGTGACCTGACAACTCTTTCCCTGAAGGCTTCAGTGGTTCGAGTAAGTCTTCAGAGCTTCAGAGAGACAGCAAACCTTTGAACTGCCTTTTTTCACCATATCTTGCTTCAGTTACAGAATTTATCATATGAATCATGAATTTTGAGATGATTGATTCACTGTTTCAGTGGAGCTTTCAGTGTTACCGACGGATATAGACACAAGTGCAGTATAATGTGATCCTTTATTGACAACGTTTCGCCCAGACAATGGACTTTATCAAGCTACAAACGGATCTTCCTGGGTAGAGAGTACGTGTGTGTATATATAGTGACAGCCTGGTTGATCAGACCCTGATCCACCACGAGGCCTGGTCTCAGACCGGGCCGTGAGGGCGTTGACCCCCGAAACCCTCTCCAGGTAATAGTGACGTGGAGGGTCAGGTGAGGAATGTTGAAGTTGATGGCTGAGAAGAGGTTGGATCTGAGAAGGACGTACCTGACGTAGGCCAGTAGGCCTGCGTCAGGTACGTCCTGATGATAAAGACGTTTCCTGGTACGAGGTTCAGCTGTATTGTTGGATATACAGATCAGTGATGAGTCCAAGATCCTGTGTCTCTGGGTATTGTCTTCCTTGATATTGAGTCTCGATTAGATAGTTTTGGGAGTTTCAGTATAAAACAGCGGCGTTCTTCACGTTAGTATAACTGATGTTAATGGACATGCGGGCATTTGACTGAGAACTTACAAAAACACCTTTGTTTTTCCCGTATTGTTTTCCAGCAGCATTACATCCAACCAAACTACCTGTAAACCAAGGAAAAAATGGAATGACATTTGTTTACAGTCCTGTTAATGTCAGTGGCAACGCGATCCTTAGAATGATGCACCAACTTATGTATCCACTGAAAAATAAATGGCAAGATAAACACATATCAGGTGCAACTAGCACTATCAGTTTCGCAAAGTCAGTTTTGGAGTGGACATGACTGCTAGTTGCGGTCATGTCCACGCTCCTGAGTAGATTTCAAGTAGAACAGAATCATTTCCAGTCACAACCAATTTTATATTGAAGACATCGTTGTGCGCTGCTGTGTTGTTTTCAGATCAATCAGTTGGTGTCTTTACTAACTAACTTCATGATTGCCTGAGTATAGTAAACAGAGGCCTGTTGGGGAAATTTTGCAGGTTTTATCTGCACCTTTGTTTCTGCCTCTCCTTGAAAATTCTTTAACACTTTCTTCAATATATTAGTCAAAACTAAATATGTTACTTGGAGTTTACCTGGAGTCTACCAGGAGTAGACTGTAGTTAGACTTCGGGTAGACTCTGGGTATACTCCAGGTAGACTCCAGGTAGATCCTCCACGACGCCATTACTTAGCACAGAGAATCATCCAACCTAACAGACATGAAGCTTCATTCTGTACTTGTCCAACTTCGAAATATATTCTTTTATGTTTCCATAAAAGAATTAGCCATTAGATTTTTAGTGTATTAAATTTTTTTCACTCTTCTGGAGACCCATTTCCATAACATAAATTATATCTGTATCAAAGACCTCTGATATACTTTTCACATCTCGTCAGTGTCTCCATAATATTATGGATTGTTTCATAAAATCTTATTGACAATCTTGCCTCGACTGATAATATATTTGTCTCCAAAACAGTGTGAAGGAAGACCCTGGTCAAGTACCCGGGTATAAGAGGTAATAAATGCCCACTGATGCAACAATCTACATTTCGCTGATATAAGAAAATTTATATTAACCTCACCATTCTGTCTTTGAGCCAAAGTTATGGCTTTTTATACTTATGATCATTATTTTCTCGCGTTTGTTTTTAATAAATATCTTTTTTTGCAAAGTCGAATAAAAATTTCGGTAGCGTAATCGAATTTTCATAAAATGTATTTCAGTACCAAGATCAGTAGTCCAGCCACTTTTGAAAAATAGCCAAATTGATTAACATTTTAGAGCATCCATCTTGGATGCCATCGTGAATACCTGGAATTGTCTATGGCTAAGGAATCACACTTTCCAGGACCTTACTATGTGAGTTTTTTCTAACAATTATCAGCATAAACAAAAGTACATCTGCAAATTTTGGATTAGTGTTAAAAATCTTTCATTGTTGGACTGTAAATGGTATGTAGATTTATTCTGTTGTAAATCAATAAGCTCAGTCTGTGACTGAATTCTCTAAGCTTAAGATAGTGTTGTTGTGTGGCTTACATTCATAGTCCTGTTGTATGGTGTATAGTCTTGTGTAGCCTAGTTTACATAGTCCGGTGTAGCCTGTTGTGTAGAGTTCTGAGAAGTAAATAGTATAGTGTCTTGCATGACCTGGTGTATATAAGTCTGTAACTTTGGGCACATATTGCAGTGCTGTCTGTTGTATACAGCCCTTTTTAGCCTAGAGCATATACTGTTGTACTGTCTGAGTTATATAGTCTACATATGTATTGTGTATGTAGTTCTGTGTAGCCTGGTGTATATTGCGATGTGTAGCCTGGTGTATATTGTGATGTGTAGCCTGGTGTATATTGTGATGTGTAGCCTGGTGTATATTGTGATGTGTAGCTTGGTGAATATTGTGATGTGTAGCCTGGTGTATATTGTGATGTGTAGCCTGGTGTATATTGTGATGTGTAGCCTGGTGTATATTGTGATGTGTAGCCTGGTGTATATTGTGATGTGTAGCCTGGTGTATATTGTGATGTGTAGCCTGGTGTATATTGTGATGTGTAGCCTTGTGTACATTATGATGTGTAGCCTGGTGTATATTATGATGTGTAGCCTGGTGTATATTGTGATGTGTAGCCTGGTGTAAATTGTGATGTGTAGCCCGGTGTATATTGTGATGTGTACCCTGGTGTATATTGTGATGTGTAGCCTGGTGTATATTGTGATGTGTAGCCTGGTGTATATTGTGATGTGTAGCCTGGAGTATATTGTGATGTGTAGCCTTGTGTACATTGTGATGTGTAGCCTGGTGTATATTATGATGTGTAGCCTGGTGTATATTGTGATGTGTAGCCTGGTGTATATTGTGATGTGTAGCCCGGTGTATATTGTGATGTGTAGCCTGGTGTATATTGTGATGTGTAGCCTGGTGTATATTGTGATGTGTAGTCTGGTGTATATTGTGATGTGTAGCCTGGTGTATATTGTGATGTGTAGCCTGGTGCATATTGTGATGTGTAGCCTGGTGTATATTGTGATGTGTAGCCTGGTGTATATTGTGATGTGTAGCCTCGTGTATATTGTGATGTGTAAGCTGGTGTATATTGTGATGCGTAGCCTGGTGTATATTGTGATGTGTAGCCTGGTGTATATTGTGATGTGTAGCCTGGTGTATATTGTGATGTGTAGCCTGGTGTATATTGTGATGTGTAGCCTGGTGTATATTGTGATGTGTAGCCTGGTGTATATTGTGATGCGTAGCCTGGTGTATATTGTGATGTGTAAGCAGGTGCATATTGTGATGTGTAAGCTGGTGTATATTGTGATGTGTAGCCTGGTGTATATTGTGATGTGTAGCCTGGTGTATATTGTGATGTGTAGCCTGGTGTATATTGTGATGTGTAACCTGGTGTATATTGTGATGTGTAGCCTGGTGTATATTGTGATGTGTAGCCTGGTGTATAATGTGATGTGTAGCCTGGTGAACATTGTGATGTGTAGCCTGGTGTACATTGTGATGTGTAGCCTGGTGTATATTGTGATGTGTAGCCTGGTGTATATTGTGATGTGTAGCCTGGTGTATATTGTGATGTGTAGCCTGGTGTATATTGTGATGTGTAGCCTGGTGTATATTGTGACGTGTAGCCTGGTGTATATTGTGATGTGTAGCCTGGTGTATATTGTTATGTGTAGCCTGGTGTATATTGTGATGTGTAGCCTGGTGTATATTGTCATGTGTAAGCTGGTGTATATTGTGATGTATAGCCTGGTGTATTTTGTGATGTGTAGCCTAGTGTATATTGTGATGTGTAGCCTAGTGTATATTGTGATGTGTAGCCTAGTGTATTTTGTGATGTGTAGCCTGGTGTATATTATGATGTGTAGCCTGGTGTATATTGTGATGTGTAGCCTGGTGTATATTGTGATGTGTAGCCTGGTGTACATTGTGATGTGTAGCCTGGTGTATATTGTGATGTGTAGCCTGGTGAACATTGTGATGTGTAGCCTGGTGTACATTGTGATGTGTAGCCTGGTGTATATTGTGATGTGTAGCCTGGTGTATATAGTGATGTGTAGCCTGGTGTATTGTGATGTGTAGCCTGTTGTAT